TGGCCTTGACCAGCTCAGATAAAAAGCTCTAAATCGACGCAGGAATTATTTTTCACGCTCCAGCAGTTCGAAGGTCTGCATGTGGGTGGGAGTCTGTAGTACACGACGCAGGCGGTTCAAGGCGTGTTTCTTTGTGGGTATACTGCACTGGATGCAGGCACGCGGGCGGACTTTGCCCCTATCGTAACTGATCACAGCGCCTGACGGCCCCGAGTAGGCAACCAGCATGCACGTATGCGTGCGGTGTACATACCTCAAAAAGTGCAAGGTTTGAAAAATTGCTACTATCTTGTTATTTATACTGCGGGTGGCCATGCCTATGGTCAAAAAACTGCCCCACGGAAGTAGGAAAACTTTTTTTTTTCTTACGGGAACGACAGAGCCGATAGTGAAACCAAAACACTCCACTTGCCGAATGGCTCTTGGCGTAAAGTAGAAGACTTTATCTGGACGGCATCTCAGCCTTGGCTGGGCCGCAGCTAGTCGGCTACCTATCGGGCAGTAGCCCGGGAGGCCCAGCGACCAGCAGAAGTGGGAATAATGAAAATTTCCTACACGCGTACGTGAGGTCTTTCAGAAATACGCACCATAAACATCCAAATACGCCTACGATGTAGGGCAAAGCAGCTAGTGGTGGACGGTCGGAGCCTTGCAGCCCATGCAGCTTACATGCGCCGCTATGAGGGGCGCCCGGAGCTCAGCCACTAATCGTCCGCCACATGGCCCGGGGCCACACGGGTGCGTTTCTGTGTTGTGGGGGGCTTTATTCGCCCCACCGTTTTCCGGGAAGTAATTGATAAGAAGTTCGCGGTAGGTGCAGTTACACCATCACGGCCCGATAAAAGGAATAACAAGTTGGGTAACGCCCCTCTGTAGCGCGCCGAGGGCTGCCCGTCGGCCACTACTGTGTGCACGCGCGGGCGGGCGGGGCGGCGCCGCCAGGCGAGGGCAGACGGCGCTATCAGGAACAATGAAACGGGGCCCTCTGTTTTATTAGAGAAGGTCACGCACCTCCCCCGATCGCTTACAAGGTGATTTATACCGGTGCGATTGGTACGCTGCTCTGCACGCGTCCGCACAACTGCCTCCCCGCCTCGCCCGCCCGGCTGAGCGCACTAAGACGTTGAGCCGTGCGCCGGAGGGCGCTGCTGCCGAGCGCCAGTGCGACTGCACTAAGCCCCGGCACGCCGCCGCCGGCCAACCACCGCGACATTTTGATCTCCCCCGATCGCCTTGTTTTTGACGGCGCGTGCGCACGACAAGACTCTCGGCGGCGGCGGCGAGCTCGCCCTGAACGCCACATCCTGTCTTGGACGGAGGTTCACAGTTCAGTAGTCTCGCGTCCCGATAATATCGCGTGATGGTCATTTCCCCCTCCCCTCCCCCGTGTCGGTCGGCCAGCACCCACCCTGACCCTGCTCCATTACTTAATTGGGAGCAGGCGAGGAAACCGAGCTGCTGCGGTCCGAGTTCAACGCGCGCGTGGCCCTGGTGCGCCGGCCCCCCCTCCTTCCTCCTGCTCCGTCCAGATCCCCGCGCCGCCATACCCCTCCTTTTGAATCTCGCGCGCCGCAAAGGAAAGAGGAGGGGGGGGGGAGAGGGAAGGCCCCTTGGCGGCAGCGGCGGCGCTGCGCGGCGTGTGTCGCCTCCGCCCCTGCCGCACCTCCCGGCCTCCACCACCTCCTCCTCCTCCTCCTCCTCCTCCTTCTCCCCCTCCTCTTCCTCCTCCTCCGCCACGCCCCGCCACGGGGCGCAATGCGTGACACCGCGCCGCCACGCCACGCGCCACGCCGCGCCACGACGGCCCCCGGGCCGGCCCGGGCCGGACAGGTCGGCCAGTCAGTCGATGGCGCGCAGCGGAGCTTGCTGAGCCGTTTGCTTGGCCTGGACTGGCCTGGACTGGAGGGAGACCACACCGCGAGTGCCCGGGAGCGCAGCCGTCAGTGACGCGGACGACGACGACGACGACCACGACGCCGGTGTCGTTACCGTTCTCGACGTTTGCAGCGTCCGCTGAAATAGTCGCGTCAGTGTGTGTTTGTGTGTGTGCGCGCGTGCGTGCGTGTGTATGTGTGGGCGTGCGCTTGCGCGTGAGTGCGTCCGCCCGCTTGTGCGTTGCACGCCTTGCAGGTGCCGGTGCCCCCGCCGCGGGGACCCGCTCGGCATGGTGAGGACGAGGTTGTGCTAGGTTAGGACGCCCGCCCCCGCGAGTGCCGCGCCCGCGCCCGGCTCGCGCCCGGACCCGTGACCATGGCGGTGGTCAACTACAGCCTGCCCTACAACGCCCTGCCCCCGGCCGTGCCGCACGTCTTCTACCCGCCGACGGCTGCGGCGCACCCCGGCGCGCTCGACGGAGGGGTGGCCACGGCCGCCGCCGTCAACAACTTCCTCTACACCAACGACCCGTACCACGCGCAGCGGCGTCAGCAGCAACAGCAGCAGCAGGTGGCACACCAGCAGCACCAGCAGCACCAGCCCCACCAGCAGTACGGCCCGCCCACGTCCTCGCCCAGCCGGCGCGCTGCCGCGCCCCGGGACACCAGGGATCCGTACCGCGGCTACGCGCCGCAGCAGCTGCCGCAGCCGCAGCAGCAGCCGGTGCGCTACTATGAGCAGCCGCAAGCCCAGCAGCAGCAGCAACAGCCCGCGCGACAGCGTACTGCAGCTGCGGCTGCAGCAGGGACCCCAGCTAGCGCCGGGGCCACGAGGTACACCCGGATCGACACCGGTGCGGCCAGGTCATCGCCGAGCGCCAAGACCACGCTGCACGCCGTCATCGACTACGATGACGACTTCGACGAGTACTATGACGACGAGGAGGTCCCTTCCTACCAGCCCGGCGCAGGACCCCAGCCTGGGGCGCGGGTCGGCACCAGGAGACACCCCCAGGCGACGCCGGTCCCCGCCGCCCCCCGTGCCGGGGCCACGGCCGTCCCACCCCAGCACCGTGGCCTTCCCCGGCAACAGCAGCAGCAGCAGGTCACGCCTATCCAGGGGCCCATCTACGCCAAGAACGGCAGTGTTCCGGTGGTCCCTCTGTTTTCCTACCCGGTCCTTAACAACGGCTCCTACGTTCAAATACCGGTGAGTACTAAGATTGCGCGCGGGACATGAGGTCTTGCGCTTGTAGAGTGGCAATCGAGTTTTGCATACTCATGCTTTCAAAACAGGCCGATGTTCTTCCATTGTCATACATAGCAGAAGAGACGATAGGCCGTAGAAGGTTGTGAACTTTCGCCACGGTGTTCGTAGATTTAGAATATGTTTGCTACAAAAAAATGCGTTTGTTTTGTTTGTTGTTTTAGCTAAAGTTTCTTCTTTACCAGTAATATTTTTGTTTTATGTTTGTGTAATCGTGAATATCACTAATTGTGACAATACAAATATTACTACTGGAACAAAAACCTTTTAAGAAGTAAAACAAAAACGTTTGCTGAAACAACAAAGCAAACAAACGCAAACTTTTATTTTTGTAGAAGATCTACAAACACAGTGCGTAATGAAGCACTTCTTCTTTCTTTACTGCTGCTTTATTTGACAGTATGGTTGTCAAATCATGCCCCCCGCTCCAATGAAAAGTAACACCTCTGTTAGTGGCCGTGGCGTATTACGAGCATCCAAAACTGCTATGTTCGGCAGTAAAATAAGATTTAAAAGCAGTGGCACACCAGATTTGACCTCGTTTTCTTTCTTTTCTTCTCCATTCGCTTCTCTGGACGGACGGCTTGTGTAAAGTCCGTAGGCAGGACTGAGATGTCCCCCGCTATCCTGCAGCAGGTTCTCTCTACCTCTCTGCTCTCTTCCCCTCTTTCTCACTCCACGGTCAGTTCCTTTGTCCTCCCGCTCGTTCGGCACTTAAGCCATGTTTGCTCTTGTGTTCGGCACGTTGCAACGTTGGTCTCTCGCCTTTCTCGCTGCCGGTTGCGAATCAGACATTCAAAGTCTCAAACGCCAATACACGCTGTGAATAGAAAACGAACCTGAGTGCTTTTTAACATAAATTAAGACACTTCAAAGCAACAAGTGTCGGTCAATCCCAACTGACTGGTCTGGCTCCTTCTGAATTTTGGGTCAGTCTTTTCAGATGTTCTCTCCCACTGCAATATGGCACAACCGTTTGGCAGAGATGACACTACGGGTCACAAACCGGACCGGGCGTGGAACGCTTCCTGACTTCTTCCTGTCCGTTTGTTATTGACCGCGTGTTTTCGCATACGGCATGAGGAGGGGAACAGGGGGACGAGGCAGAGAGAGACAGACGAACAGACGACAGACAGACAGACAGACAGACAGACAGACAGACAGACAGACAGACAGACAGACAGACAGACAGACAGACAGACAGACAGACAGACAGACAGACCCGATGAGCCTAAATACGAACGCGTCTGAAAAGAGCGAGGAACGGCTCCTGTGGTGATTCAGCCTAAATCCGCTCCATTTTCCGTCGGTTGCCTTGTCTGCAGGTCTTTTGCGTGACAAGGCCGAACGGGTCGACTAGGCCCCTGCCTTAGGTAACGAATCGAATAGCGAGTGAATCACTCGGCAAAATTAAAGGTTTGTTTGATGCAAAATGTTCAAAAGTATAGGTATTTCATTGCAATTGAATCTTATCCGATCTAACCTTTTTTACGGAAAAATTCTCCTCCTGCTTGATCCGCTTGAAGGATGACTAACGTGTCAGTGACGTAAGAAAGGGCCAATCGGTGTTGAGCATGCGAGAGTTTGCTCACGCGATCGGAGATGACTTGGCTCTCGCACCCGGGAAGAAAGTATTTACACTGGTGGAACAAAACGCTGTGCCCGCGCGATTTTCAAGTATCATACTTGGAGAACAAGTGTGGTCGATGAAATAAAAGGTATAATTAACCAGGAACCAGCTGTCATTAAAACACTTGTGAAAAATGAAGAATACATGAAATCGGGAGCGGGAGCTGCTATGGTGACGTGCATTGAGTTCTTGACTCGAAGGAGACAACTCCATTAAAAAGAGCCAAGCGTCCACTCCACTCTATTTTTTCTTGCCTTCTTTTCTCAGGTCTTTCTCTCTTTTGTTGTGGGCTCTGCCAGAGCGGTTTAGTCAGCAATGGATTGTGTTACACATTGAGGAGACGACTCCCGTTACCTTCTTTTTATTTTTGTTTTCTTTTACCTGAGCTCCTTTCTGTCTCACTCATAAAGAAAGACGCGTGCAAGGAGTCGCCAGACTTTGCTTTTAGCGATTCTACCTTATCCCCCCACTCTAGTCCGACCATCAAGGGAAAGAAACGACTAATTAATGCTATTTTGCAACAGCACCTTGGCGGAGTATGAGAACAAAGTAGTAGCAGCCTTTGAGCCCATTTTTGTCCGCGGTGTGGGATGCAGATGGAAAAGGGGGGTGGGGTAGGGGGCGACTTCCCTCAAACCATTACAATTACATTACAATAAGGCCACCAGAGCAGTGATCGCCTCCCGAGCTGATCCGTCGTCTTTGCGTGTCTTTTCCTGACGCCGCTCCTGACGGACAAGCTCTGCAAAGGACGAAGGACACACACACACACACACACACACACACACACACACACACACACACACAACTTCTCGTCCCTTTACGAAATTCGACCGAGCAAATGCGCGGCACCCAATTAACGGAGCCTTTTGCGGATGACGGCGTGTGTGTGTGTGTGTTAGAGAGACAGAGAGAGAGAGAGAGAGAGAGAGAGAGAGAGAGAGAGAGAGAGAGAGAGCGTGCAGCGAGCAGTATGTGTGTGTATGTGTCTGTGTGTGCGGGCGGATGCGGTGAACGCGTGATATGGATCGAGTCATGTGGTGCAGCTTCATTGCGAGAGGCGGGGACCCCGACCGGCTGCCGGACAGGCCGGGCGGCGGCGGCCGACTTGCCGACTACTTGGCCCACCTCTGGGCCCCCTCTCCATAGTCTTTCCACCCCTCCCTCCTCCAGCCCGAGCCCGACGACGACAGAGACCTTGCGAGAAGGCGGGGCAGTAAAATAGGCGCGCTCCGCGCCTCTCGCGGATTATGATACTTACATGTGCGACCGTTTCTTTGCTATTGTACAAATTCTCCAAAGTAATCGTGCAGACCCGCGAGTGCGCGAGCTGGAAATCTGCAATGTACCTCTCAAATAATGCTGCGGCGCGTCAAAAGAAATGTTTCGAAAAGACATAGAAAGGTTGTTGTGTGCTGCTTATTTGTATGGTGTCGCGTGGTGGCGCTGCTGGAGCTGTGCGAGGTGAGGGGGTCGCAGACAATGGGCCGACCTTTGCGCCTACGGCTAAAGCGGCAGCAGCGGCAGCGCCACTCCTGCAGTCCGCGCCCCGACACCACCACCACGCCTCGCCCCGGCGCACCACCGGCCGGCCGGCCGTTTGACAAATGTTTATTGCTATACGCGGCAGGGTAAGCGAAGGTAACTAATGTACTAAAAGGACACTAGGGTGTGTGCACTGTGCAACTGTGCGCGGTCGTTCCGCGCCGGACTCCCCACCCACCCCCGCGCATAGCACTATCGCGAGATATCTGACTGTCACTCAATTTGAGTCATAATTTGCGGTCACTCCGAAGGAGTAAGATTTTCCTGACCTCACCCAATTAAAGAGAGACAATGAAGCCACCTCCCTTCTCTAGAATAAACTAGAGTTACTGCAGAATACGCGTCGCAAGCCACCCATGCGGACACTGGTGCCGCTGCGAGGCTTGGCCGCCGGAGGGACTCAGCCTGTGAGGTAGGCAATACCATCACACGCCTGCGCTGCACCGTCCTGAGTTGCCTTCGTCGCAGGCGCTCTAAATGTGGACGCTGCCGCTGCTGCAAGCCTGTAAGGCTTGGTCCGTAGGTGCTCAGCCCTGTGAGCTAGGCAGTACCTCCATACGCGTGCGCTGTACCGCCCTGGGTTACCTACGTCGCAGGCGCTCTATCTTGAACGCTGCTGCCGATGGCCGACCATGGCGAGGCTTGGCTGGCCGACATGCAGAGGGACTCAGCCTGTGGGGTAGGCAATACCTTCACGGGCGTGCGCTGTACCGCCCTGGGTTGCCTGCGTCGCAGGCGCTCCACCGCGAACACTGTTGCCGCTGCGAGGCTTGGCCGCCAGAGGGACTCAGCCTGTGAGATAGGCAATACCATCACACGCCTGCGCTCCACCGTCCTGGGTTGCCTGCGTCGCAGGCGCTCCACCGCGGACACTGTTGCCGCTGCGAGGCTTGGCCGCCGGAGGGACTCAGCCTGTGAGGTAGGCAATACCATCACACGCCTGCGCTGCACCGTCCTGGGTTGCCTACGTCGCAGGCGCCCCACACCGCGGACACTGCTGCCGCTGGCCGGCCGCGGCGTGGCGCGAGGCGTGGCCCGCAGGCCGCAGGGACTCGGCCTAGGTGCTGTTTTGCCCGCATACCCCGTGCAGTAGACCAAGGCTGGCGGGTTGTGACGCTGGCTGGGCTCTTAGTCGTGCGGGGCGGGGGTGAGACGGGACGGGGCGGGGCGTTTCGTCGATGGGCGACCGATAGCTCGTCATACAATCTGTAGCACGGCTGCTGGGCGCCCGTGCTACTGCACTGTCGGGAATCCCGTCTGTGACTCGTTTTTTGTTGGTTTTCTTCAAAAGGAGATTTCCTGCAATTATTATGACAGCGGCGTTTTTATCCGATGTAGTAGTATTCGGGAGCGCGGGTCAGGCGCCAAAGGGACGGCTTGGCAACACTGTGGACGCGGTGACAGGAAGTCTTCTCGATGTGATCGACTGGCCGCCGCTGCCGCCGCTGCCGTCCGCACTAGGCGTTTAGTTCAGCCGGCGCGGCTAAGCGTGGCGAATGGGCGGCTGCGTCCTGGCGCGCCTCGCGAAGGGAAGGGATATCAGGATCAGGAATTGGATCGCCTCTTTATGAACGTGCAATGACAAGGACGTGCGCGCGGCTCGTGTGTGTGTGTGTGTGTGTGTGCGTGTGTCGTTGTTGTGGAGGTGGAGTGCCTATATTGCAATCTTCGTTAGGCATCGCTATGGGCGCTATACCGCACCTCAACCTCAAAACCAAAACAATTCGTAAAATCATATTCATCGAATAAGGACAAAATCTCAGACAGT